GGCTGGGGGGGTTCAATCCCTGGGAATGAGGTGGGGACTGTGTTGGGGGAGCGGGGGGAGTTGGGCCCCATGGAAGGGACGAGGCTGGGGACGGACAGGCCAGACCCTGCGTAGTGTGTGGGGGGCAAGGTGGGAACAGGGGGGTTTAGGTCCMGGGGAAGAGGGGGGGTTGCAGCCCAGGAGTGGGGGAGTTGTAGCCTGGGGGGGTTGCGGCCCCGGGGGGGTTGGTTTGCGGCCCCCGGTTGGTTTGGGGCTGTCGCAGCCCRAGGTGACGCGCGCTCGCCGCAGGTCTCAAGCAGGAGCTCTTCCACCGGCACAAGGAGGCCCAGCAGAGCTGCCGGCCGCACAACCTGCCGCTCCTGCGCGCCGCCCAGCAGCGCGAGATGGAGGTGAGGGCCGCGCTCCTGCTGCTCATTAAATGCGCTTTATAATAAGGAAGGGGCAAGTATATACCTATATTAGATGCCTTACATCTATTTATCCTTCCCTTGTATCACGTATAGCCTTTTACCCGCTTCCTTTTACCCTAATACTTTATTATTTTATTTTGTTGTCCTTTGCTGGGCAGTACTACACATACTGTGTTTTTCCTCTTTAAAATTTCAAATATTTCTGTTTCACAGCATTTGGGGAGCAGATCAGTCATCCTCGTAGCACCCATTCCTTGTCTAAACAGAGCTGCTCTCTGTGGTTAAAGGTTTTGCAGGCCGCTTCCCACAAGACAGCCTGGGACTAGACTTGCAGAGGGAGATACATGACTGTATATGTGTCCATGCATATAGTTSGACGTACATGCATACAAAAAGCATGGATTTTTCAGGTGTTCAACTTCCTAGTGGAATCTGCATACCAAAAACACTTGGCCGCACATAGTGGGTAGTCAGTCACTTAAGCTGAAATAAAAACTTGAGATTTGGGTATGTTCCTGTAGCTCAGAATCACAGACSTATCCTAGACTGTATTTAGACACTTAGATCCTTTAAGTGAGGAGCATGAAAGCTTCTCTTCCAGCACAGTTAGCGGAGGAGGTGGTTTGGTACCTCAGCTGTCCCCCAAGTCAGACAGGAGACAGAAAAGTCTTTGGGAAAGGTGAGAGCAAAAGGGTTTGAATTGTCCATTTCCTTTCCATAGACAAAGAGCCTGATYCTCCAGGCTGGAAAGCATTTAGGAAAGAGCTTTGCTAGGTCCACAGGATAATTTTTGTTGGAAGGGACCTGGGGAGGTCTCTGGTGCAAAGCCAAGTCAGCTGTGAGGTCAGATCAGGTTGTCTGTCCACGAAAGCCTTTAAAATCCCAAAGGGTGGAGGTTGCAGGACCCCTGAGCAACCTGTCCTGCCCTTTGACTGACCCTGCCCTGCAAAAGTTTCTCCTTCTGCTGCTTTTTCCATATTTTAGATTGAAGCTTTCAAATTACATGGCATTTCATTTATTAGAATAGGAAGCATGCAAGAGAGGCAGAGTTGCCTCTAATGAGGAGACATTTTTAGAGGCATAAGGAGGGTTTCTTCCAAACCTTGATACAATTAATGCATTCTGCAAAGTGCTGAATGCTGTCGAGGCCTAGGCAGGAGTGAGAAGGTTGTATCTGCTTGTTCCTGCCAGGAACAAGCCTAGATACAGGCGATGGTAGCTAGGCTGCAACCACAAATCCAGGCGTCTGCAGAATTTTGCCAATAAAAAAGGACACTAAAAGAAATCTCGTGTTAAGGTGTTCTGCCAAAGGCCCTTACCAGCAGATCTCGCTGCTTCTGGCCTTTGATGCAAATAATGAACTGTGTGGCACTTTGTTCACCTTCTGTCACAGCCCATAATAAACACAAGACATCCCATAATAAACACGGGACCATTAGCCCCTCCGCCTTGCATTGAATTGAGTTCTAAACTGTCTTAAATTACTTGATGTTTGTTATAACAAGAGCATGCCCTTGCTGTGGAGAGGCTGAACGGGATAATCGTTTACATCAGAGCTGATTGCCCCTTGTCATTTTGCTCTTAACACGTGGGACTTTGGGTAGTCCCAAAGTTTCATCGTGTCTTAGTCTATAAGTATGTTCCTGGAGTGCAGGAAGTGCATGGTACAATTTTCCTAAAGTACTTTCTGTGAAGCTTGATGAGCWTTCCCAAATCTGTGGAAATAATGAGAAATGGAAGACAGCTTCAAGAAAGGTTACCTGACCTCCTCCTCCTGCACGTCAACAGTGATTTCTTTTTGCTTAGGTCGAGCCTTTTTTTCGGGTACCCTCTGATGCTGTGAGGTTGCAGGGATGCCTCAGCCTTTTTGCAGGTCGTTGGGGCCTGGATCGTTGGCACCCCAGCTCCTCCACGGGCCTCAGAGCCGTGTACGGGCTTCCCACTCGCCTTCCCTGGGGAGCTCGCTACGTGTAAAATCCCAGGCTTCACGATTCTCCCTTTTTTGGTTTCCAGCTAAACACTTCTCATATTCTGAAGGGGCAGTGTTGTGTGAGTAACAGGTGCCATATAATTCCTGCATGGGAAGGAGCCTTCCTCTGTGTTTAGGCTGGAGTGGACGTCTCCTGGTCTTGCCGCCCGCRCGTGGGGCTCTGTGTCTGAGGCCAGCTTGCCGTGTCCCGCCCAGCCCCTTGGCTCTGCTCTTCCCTCCCTGCACGCGGGCAGAGCTCCTCTTACCGTGGTGGGCTGAGGGCATCTCTGTGATTGAYACTGTGGTGCTGTTTCTCCAGCATCCCCCAAATCCAGAGGGCCTTTGAAACAGCAACCACTTGTTGCCCTGTGCTGGAGGGAGAGGTGCAGCCTGCACCAGGCTGATAACACAAGGTGCCTGTGGCCAAGTGACATCCAGCTCTGCTCTCCTCACTCAGGCAGCTACACTGCACCTTTATCATGCTCTTGTCTCCATTTCTTCTGAGGTGAGCGCACAGAGACCAGGCTGTGTGATTGTTCTGCTCGCGGCAGCAGGCAGGGCCAGGCTGCTTCCCCTGCCCTTTGCTGGGCAGTAATTTGCAGTAAGGACTATTGAGCACCAGGACAGGACCGTAGAAGGTGTGGGCTGTGCCTGCTGCCCTCGGCTGTCTTTGGAAGAGCAAAGGTGTCCCCGGTGAGCACCTCAGGAATGGGCTCCTGGGCTTCAGGAAAGGTCRTAGAGAGGAGGAAAACAAAAGTAGGCGGGAGGATGCTCCACTTCTTTGGGTGCTGTTGGAGAAACAAAATATATTATCTTGATTGTTACGTTCTTTTCAGGCTGTGGAGCAACGAATTCGGGAGGAGCAGCGAATGATGGATGAGAAGATAGTCTTGGAATTGGACCAAAAAGTCATAGACCAACAGAGCACCCTGGAAAAGGCAGGGGTGTCCGGGTTCTACATCACCACAAACCCTCAGGTGCGTGTATGGGCAGTGGGCGTTGCATCTGACAGTGCTCWTGTGCTAATATAACTATTTAAAAAAATAAAAATCTCCTTTCTTAGTGAACTTTCAATAGCTGCCTCAGAAAGATTGATCAGTCTTCCTCTTCATCATCTTTTATTATTGTTATTACTGTTATTATTTTGCAAGGCACCTCATTAAGGTATCTCATTGAGGATGACTATATTGGCTTGTGTTTAGAGAATGTCCTTGGCTTCCTCAGTGCCTCTGTTCTTAACAGTTGAGAACAGTAGTGTCATGGATTTTGKTTTTTTGTTTTGTTTTCCAATGGTATTACACAAATGGAAAAATAAACTTTGAGAGTCTCCTCATACTGCTGCAGAAGATAGCACAGTGCAGAAACAGCCTATTCTTAACTGTTTTTTTTTTTCTTTTTGACTGATTAGATTCCATTTTGATAAAGACCTTCCTACCAGAGAAGGAAAGATGCCTTAAACCAAGTTGCTTAAATAGTMATTTTCTAAAACCAAAGCAGTTCCTGCTTGCATAGCCTTGAGCCAGTCCCTTACTTTTGCTCTGCTGCTCTTCCCCATCTGTATAAAGAAAGTAGTTTTTCTGTCTTCTCTGCTTTTTATGTTATTTTCCAAATAATAACTAACAGAGTTTCTGTTTTCTATTTATTTGCTTTTATGATAGGTGGAAAACAGGACTCAGTTTTTGGCTTGTGTCTGTGAATGCTGCCACAATACAAGAAATTATGGCTAGACTCAGCTGTTTTCCATACATTTCCCATCACCCTATGTATTTTCCACAGTTTATGTGCGGTGCCCAGTTACACGATCTCTATATTTTTACAGAAATAGATATTATTTTCCATACAGTCRTGTCTGCAAGCCTGAGTCACAGGACAAGGTCCACTGAATTAGGTACTCCCACCTATGTGGGGCAGATGTGGTCTGTCCTAAATGGCTTTTAATTGAAAAGTGAGTAAAGAACAGAAGGGTAAGAGAGCATAAAGAAACAGCAAGTGGATGTTGATGAGAAAACACAAAAACCTGCAAAATTGACAGACTTAATAACTATTTAGCAATAAATAACTATCAAGAAGAAATGAACCTCTTTGAATCGTTAATGGTTCCTAAACCCCCTGGACTCTGCAGTACGACTATGATGCACAGCAGATCTCGTAAGATAATATTGTCCTGCGTTTGGCAGAAATGCTTAAACTAGATTAAGCCTTTTTTGAGATTACTGCCTCCTGCGTGGGTGGTACAGACCCGTTTATTTCTGCAGAGGAGAATGGGATCATCTTGTTCTTGCAAAAATGTCTGTCTTCCTTTACAGGAGCTGACTTTACAGATGAACTTACTGGAGCTGATTCGGAAGTTACAGCAGAAAGAAGCCCAGGCAGAGAAGGCTTATTCCTGAACAAGCAAATCTGCTGTTTTCTTTCTAGAGTTTTCTTCTGCCTTGCCTCTAAAAAACCGACTATTTGATGCATTTGCTCTGTGATACGTAAGGAAAAGGCTACTAGCCAACAAGTGTAGGATTAGCTGRGGCCTGTAGATACCTTTAGCAAGTGGGGGAAGTGGAGCTGTGGAGCAGAGGGGGGTGTCAGAGGCATCTTTTCCAGGCCTCGGAGCAAGATGCTTATTGCAAGTCCTGCTGCTGAAGAGTTCCTGCTTACCTTCGTGCAGACAGTTAATCAGAATTAGTAATTCATGGCCCTTCCTAAGCTGGTTCTTCAGGGAACAGCGTGGTCTCTTCCAGCCCCAGAGCACAGACTGGGGCAATGTGCCCTGCAGGTGGGAGCTCCTTCACTTGGAGCTCATCTCTGAGGCAAGAAGATGACACAAGACATTAATTTGCTGCATGTAGCCTGTGATTCAGCAGGGGTTTAAGAAGCCAGGGGAGACAAGGCCAGACACCGAGTCAGGACACTCAGGCCAGTGCTRTTCTGATGGCCTGTGTGCATAAGCGCATCAAGCTGAATTTGTGAACGCTGCTGTCTGCTACAAACTGCACCCTCCTCATCTGATTCAAGAAGTGAGCATCTCTGATAAGGACTGGAAGAGAAWAACAGCCCTATCAGACAGGAAGTGAAGCGGATTTGCCTTCCGAGGCAAGCTGAGCAGGGCAGTTTGACAAATCTTCAAGTTTTATCTCCAAGAAGATGCTCGTGTATGTGCTACGGCAGYGCTTGCCTCTTCCAACGGGCAGACCCTTCCCAGAGAGACCTCTCGGCAGGTAACAGCATGGGCTTCTCCTCCGAGCCTTACTGGAGAAATTCAGGCCTCTGTCCCACTTTTGCGACTATGACAGTCAGGTTATTTTTACCCGACCAGAGTAGCAGAGAAGGCTGCGAGTGTTTGTTTTGTTACTTTAAGGTAGCTTCCAAATAGAGATAAAATACTACATTTTTCTCTGTAAAATACTCTATAGAATAAAAAGTGTTTGGAGACTGCAACTTTTTAGATGTCAGTGACCATGCTCTGATGCTGCTGTGTCTGATGATGAGGGTGGGTTAGAGGGGTGCGCTGAATTGAGCCCAGAAGGCTTGACTTGCTCCTGAGCCCATATTTCCTCCCAGAGCCTTGGGGAGGGAAGGGATTGGAGCCTGTGCTGCTTTTTTGTCAAAAGGTCCCCACGGATGCGTGAGGAATGTGTTGCTGCCAGGGCTGCTCTTGGAAACGGGATGGAGYGGGATGGAGCGAAGGGAGAAATGTGTCCTCAGGCCAGAGCGGCTGTTGGGCTGGATYAGACCTTAACCTGCTGTGCTTAGGGCTTTAATTGCACCTAGGTCCCYGTTCACAGGCTCTTTGACGCTCTCAAAACAAGGATTATGTTGTCTCCCTCATGTTCTGTTTGCTGTGGATGTAACCATCTCTTCCCAGCTGAAGCAGGGGTAGAAGATTCGCTATGCTCTTCCTCACTGATAACAGGAGCGCACCAGAACATGTAGTTCACTACCCCAAGATGAAAGGTGCATCTCCTGTGAAGTCCTGCCTCCTTGAGCAAAATTCTCACCTGGAAAACGGGACAAAGGGGTCCTTGCACCACAGCGGAGGGTCCTCCTGTGAACCTGACCCTGSGCTGGGCTCCTAGGGGCCCTGCACYTGAGGGCTAAARGCCCAAGAGGCAGAATAAAGATGCTAGAGTTCCCTCTTTGGAGACACCTCAGCTGCGAGCGCAGCAAGGGCCCGCGCTCCGTGTGGCTCTGTGTGGCATCGTGCAGCTCCGTGCAGTGGCTCCATGCGGCTCCATGCAGTTCCGGGAGGCTCCATGCGGCCCTGTGCAGCTCCATGTGGCTCCGTGCAGCTCCATACGGCTCCGTGTGGCTCCATGGCAACGCTGGAGCTGCAGGTTTCCTCCTCCTCCTGCTCCCACCATCTGCTCTGAGTTGCACGCAGCTCTGCCAAGCTGCAATATTTTTCCGTGCCTGCAGCCCGCCTCGGGTGGTGTTTTTGGAAAGGCGCTGCCACAGAGGCAGGGAATTGCAGTCGGTCAGACGTSGTTGGTTGGAAAGGTTGTTTAAAACCAATGAGCACCTGGGATAGCTCGTGCTCAGGGAGGGTTTCACCAGCACAATTGCAATAAAAAAAAAATAAAAAATAAAAAAAAAGAAAGAAATGCTTAGGCTGGAGTCAAATCCTATGAGATTGTCTCAGGGGAGCTGATCTGGCTGGAAATGCAAAGGATTCCTGGATTTCCAAGGGCTCAAAGGCCTGTGCAGTCCCCAAGCTCCAGAGCTGRCCCCATAGTGGCCATGGAGACGTGTGTTTGGGGTGAGACCTGCTGCCCCTTGCTGGCCTTGACCTGCCAATGGGGCTGGACCTGAAGCTACAGCCCAAGACTTGCTGTGTGGGCCAGCAGAAGCACCAACGAGGMGCGTCAGAGGAGGATGGAGATACCTCCTCTCATCCCGGGGAGCGGTGACCGAAGGGAAAGCTGCCATTTAACAATGGACTCAAAGGGTGAACAAGGGCCACGTCTGCTTCCCTGCTTTCCTCTGCTTCCCTGCTTGCCTTTCCTGCTCCCTCCTGAGCTGCACGGGAGGCTCCCGATGTCTCCTCCGAGGAAGGAGGTAGATGGAGGGTAAATGCATGACCCCATGTGGGGTTGTGCACATGGGATTGCCCAGTACTGAAGGGCAGGCTCTGAGCTTACTGTTACCAGAGGGAGATTGGGGGGTGAGAACGCACAGAAACATCAGCTTTAACGTTCCAACATGGCCAGAAAAATCTAAGAAACTAGGAAGAATAAGGAGAAGGAAAGGGAGCTGCTGCAAAGCCTTTGATCAACTGATCAATCAGCACTTGGACCACAGGTCCCTTAAGAAGAAAATCCGTGAACAGCAGCAGGGAGAGCAAAGCTCTGGCCCACCCAACACGCCAAGAAGATCCAACCACCAGAAGCCTGGCTGGGATCTCCCCTGTGGAAAGGAGATGGCTAGGAGGGGTCAGGATAGGGAGATGGCATGGAGAGGGTGACAGCAACCCCGTTCTTCAAGCACAAGAGCTGCAGTGTTACGTGAAGGTTGTAAGAAGAGCCAGGTTCAGAAGAAACCAAGGCGTTCTTGGCGCCACAGGGCTCTGCTGCTCCTTGCCATGGGGTGCTGTGGACGTGAAAGGTGTAAATTGGCTCCAGAGGAGGAGATGAAGTTCTGGAAGAGATGTGATTCTGACTTAGCAGGAAGGGACGYGTCTCCCCAGAGCTCCGAGCTCCAGGTGTCTGGAGGCTGGTGGAGCAGGGTGGAGGTGCTACGTCCTTGGTTCCTATGCTTTTCCCCAGGCACCTGCTTTTTGTCACCAGTGAAAGCAGCTCCTTGAGCTGGACAGACCTGTTCTTGTGTCCCACAGCTCACACATCTTYCACTATGGCCCCTCTAGATTTTTCTTTTGCTTATGTTTTTTGCTCCTCTCTTCATCCCTACCTTTCCATGAGTGGAAGCCGAGCACGGGGGTGGTCCCTGTCCTGCAGCCAGGGGCTCTAGGTTGGGCCGGGTAAAGGAAGGGGGCAGCGCCCAWGCCCTCGGCTCCGCGCGGAGCGCTCCGTGTCCTGGCGCGGGGAGCAGCTTCACCCGCTGCGCTGCCCTCCCCTCCGGCCGGCCGCGCTGCCGCCGCGCCCCGCGTGTCTCCAGGAGCCGCCGACACGCGGGGACTGGGCGCTCGGCGGCTGCGCGGCCCTGCGGGAAGCGGGCGGCGCGGGGCCGGCCGGCTCCTCCCGGCGCCGGGAGGCTCCGCGCGCGGCCGGGCCGGGCCCGGCGCAGCCGCCGCCTCCTTCCGGAGCCGGGACCGGGCGACTTAGGGCCGGCGGCGCCCGCCTCGGCGCTGCTGCAGCGCAGGTGACCGCGGCCGGCAGCGGCACCGGGAGCGGCACCGGGAGCGGCACCGGGAGCGGCACCGGGATCCCCCTCCCCGCGGCCAGGCGCGACCCCCTCCCCTGGGCCGAGCCGTCGGGGGCGCCCCCGGGCGCTCCGCGCTCTGCGGCCGGGGGGAGCCGCCCAAAGCAGCCCGAGCCCATCGGGGTCTGAACTTGCCCCATCTCCCAGCAAAGGAGCAAACGGGGGCGGGGGCGGATGACGAAACGGGAGCCGAAGCCCCGTGCCGGGAGCGGGGGCACCCGCAGCCCGTCCGGGGACCCCTGGCCCCAGGGCCCTGCGGAGCTCGGGCCCTGCCGCGGTGCCCGCCTTGGATAAACATCCGCGCAGACAAAGGGCACCTGCTGCTTGGTGCCGGCCCCGCGGCCGCTCCTGCTCCGGGGATGCCTCCCGTCCCGGGGGAGCCCGAGCGGTGCCAGCGGCGCGGCCGGGCGCGAGGGGGAACGCGCAGGGGAGCCCAGCCTGGCAGGGGCAGGAGGGGCTCGGCGCGGGGCTCCTGCAGGCRGGGCCGTCGCCTCCGCTTTTCTGCTGAAACTCTTGGGTGATTTGGTGAATTGGGGTTAAGTGCACAAATATTTCCACTGACAAGCTTGTTTATTTATTGTGGCAAAACGCGCAGGGTTGGTGCACACAGYGCTGTGAGCGAGGCTGGGGGTGGCCTGGCTCCCCTGCAGCATCACGGGGTAAAGGCAGCCAGTGGAGTGTCTGTAGCCACTGGGTGCTGGGATCCCTGGGGTGGCTGGGGTCTTTCCGTGATCTTGGGGCGCCGGAGCTCAGCCGGATGCCTGGGAGGGCTGGGCAGCCGGAGCCCCCTGCCATGCAGCCCCTCACTGTGGCTCTGGGCCCTCTACGTGCAGCCTTGGTCGGGGGCTGCGGGCACATGGAGATGTGCCCCAGTGTGGGATAGGGATGCAGAGGAAGAGGAGGGTAGCGGGGATGGGAGAGCCTGTCCGAGCAACCTTGGAGCATCACTGGAGCAGCCACGAGTTAGAGCCCTGCACTCGAGGAGCAGCATCCGCCCCGCACRGAGGCGGCCGCCAGCCCTTTCACTTGGTGCCCGGCTGGTACCCGAGCGCTTCCTACGTTTCCTGTTCTGGCAAAAGACGCCCACGTTATCCCTGGAGTGGCTCTGGCATTCCCTGTGCCTGGCCTCTCCGCGCTGTCTGCTGCACCCCTCTGTGCCTGGGCTTTTCCTCGCAGAAGCAGCGAGATGCTGGGTGGGGGAGAGCTCTTGTAGGTCACCTGGGATGGCCTAGGGAAGGATGGGCACAGTCCAAGCTCCACGCCTAATTGCTGAGGACAGAGGGACATGGACACCTGGGAGGTTTCAGCCTGGGTAAATGGGCTGTGGTAAGGGTTTTTTTGGCCCAGTCCCCATCACTTCTGACCCAGCACTTTGAGGCCGTCTTCCCCTTGGGTTTCACTGTGCTCTCCAGGATGCCCGGCTATTTTCCGAAAGCAGCTGAGGGGTGGGAGGAGGACAGTGGAGGACAGGGCAGCCTAGACGAGTCAGGGGTGCGTTCAGGTGACTCAGCCTGGCWCAGTCCATCTCAGAGTGTTCTTGAGCCAAGCGTTGCTCTGAGCCGGCGTTCGGGTTCTCCTTGCAAATAGTCTGCCTCACACCTTCCTCCTWCCCCACCAGATCTCTGCGCGGGGACATCCTGAGGACTTTGTTGCTGCACTCGCCCTTGTGCTGCTGGCCGGCGGGGCCCTGCGCCTCAAAGATGGCGAGATGGCTGCCTCGCTCTGCAGACCTGACCCGCTTCTGCCAGAAGCTCAACCGAGTGAAGACCTTGGAGGACGACATGATGGAGACRTCCTTCAACAGATGCCTCTCCACCATCGACTTGACACTGCTGGGCATCGGTGGCATGGTGGGCTCCGGGCTGTATGTCCTCACAGGCACTGTAGCCAAGGAGATTGCTGGCCCCGCTGTCATTGTCTCCTTCATCATCGCTGGCTTTGCCTCGCTCCTGGCTGCTCTCTGCTACGCTGAGTTTGGGGCCCGGGTACCCAAGACGGGCTCTGCCTACATGTTCACCTACGTGTCTGTAGGTGAGATCTGGGCCTTCCTCATTGGCTGGAACGTGCTGCTGGAGTACATGATCGGAGGAGCTGCGGTGGCCAGGGCGTGGAGCGGTTACCTGGACTCCATCTTTAACCACAAAATAAAGAACTTCACCGAGACCCACGTTGGCACGTGGCAGGTGCCCTTCCTGGCACACTACCCGGACTTCCTGGCRGCTGGCATCTTACTGGTGGCTACCGCGTTCATCTCCTTTGGGGCCAAGGTTTCCTCATGGCTCAACCATGTCTTCTCAGCCATCAGCATGGGTGTCATCCTCTTCATTCTCATCATGGGCTTCATCCTTGCACAGCCCAAGAACTGGAGTGCTCCAGAAGGGGGTTTTGCTCCGTTCGGGCTGTCAGGCATCATGGCCGGAACAGCCACCTGCTTCTACGCCTTTGTAGGTTTTGACGTTATAGCAGCATCGAGCGAAGAAGCCAGGAACCCGCAGCGGGCCGTTCCTAGAGCGATAGCCTTCTCCTTGGGGCTGGCCACTGGCGCCTACATCCTTGTGTCTATGGTGCTGACGTTGATGGTGCCCTGGTATACGCTGGACCCCGACTCTGCCCTGGCGGACGCGTTTTACCGGAGGGGTTACTCCTGGGCAGGGTTTCTGGTGGCTGCCGGCTCCATCTGTGGTGAGTATAGGGGATAGCAATGGGTGTCTGGGAGTGGGAGCTGCTCCTTCTCCGTGGATTTGCAGGCATGAGCAGGGGATCCCGGGGCATTTGGGCCATGCATCACATCTGACGTGGGGACCTGCTCTCTGCCTCTTCCCCAGCGATGAACACGGTCCTGCTGAGCAACCTCTTCTCCCTGCCGCGCATCGTCTACGCCATGGCGGAGGACGGGCTGTTCTTCCAGGTGTTCTCACGGGTGCACCCCCGCACGCAGGTGCCCGTCATTGGCATTGTGGTGTTTGGGGTGCTCATGGCCCTGCTGGCCCTCATCTTCGACCTGGAGGCCCTGGTGCAGTTCCTGTCCATTGGCACGCTGCTGGCCTACACCTTTGTGGCYGCCAGCATCATCGTGCTGCGCTTCCAGCAGCAGAAGGTGGATGTTCCTGCTCAGCCGGCCGGCAGGCAGCCCAGTCCTGAGCCCGGTGAGGGCCCAAACGCCGGCGAGCTGAAAGAGTATGAGTCCTTCTCTGACAAGCTCCAGCTGGTGGACAGAGACAAGAGCAAAGAGCAGCGGGAGCCCGGGCAGCTGAAGGCTGCTTTCGAGCCCTACCTGGAGTTCCTCAGCGACTTCTACCCGGGCGAGGTGGTCACCGTCGCTGTGGTTACCATGATGGTGTCTGCCATCTGCCTGTGCTCCATCTTGGTGTTTGGCAACACCCACCTCCACTTGCCAACCTGGAGCTACTCCCTGCTGCTGGTCCTCTTCAGCCTGGGCTTCCTGCTCAGCCTGCTCCTCATCTGGGCCCATGAACAGCAGCGCAGCACACAGACCTTCCAGGTATGCATTGGTGATGGAGGCTGTCCTGCAGGAAGGCAGGACTTGCCTCTCTGCCAGGGTCAGTGGGGTGGAGCAGTTTTGATGGATCCATGGGTGGCCTCAGCCACCACGGAGTAAAATCCCTGCAGTAACTGAAGAAGGGACAAGGAGGAGAGTGTTGGAGAGCAGTGAGCGTGGGGAAGTGTGGGTGAGTAGGTCACAGCAGTGTTCAGCTGGATGCCAGGGACAGAGGCTACAGAGAATGAGGAATAGTTAGAGTTGATCAAGGAGGAGCAGTGACTCTGAAAGGGACTCAGTGTTGCAGGTAAAGCTACTGGTGTATGTGGGGGTGCCATGCTGTGTCTAAAAGGACAGACGTGATCCTGGGCCGTGTCACCAGGAAGAAGGTGCTGGAGAAGACCTGAAGAGGTTTGGTCCTCATTACAGAGACCCCAGATATTTCTGGAGCCCCTGAGTTCCCCATGACCATCCTGTTGACTAGACTCTTGTCTTGTTCTTCCTTTTGGCTGCCTTGGACAGTTTTCAGAAAGCCCAGGTGACTGGGATTCAGATCTCTTTGTCCTTAGAATTTACTGCTGCGTGTCAATGTCTTATCACTTGATGTGTTTTTCTTGCAGATACCCCTGGTGCCCCTGTCCCCAGCCCTGAGCATTGTCCTGAATATTTATCTCATGTTGAAGCTCAACTACATGACATGGCTCCGGTTCGCTATCTGGCTGATCATAGGTGAGTACTTCTACAGGGGAATCCTGTAGAACTCCTGGAATCAGTGGCTCTTTCAAGGAGGAGAGAGTGAAATGTCCAGTGCTGAGCTTGTGTGGGGAGCTCTGGATAATGTGGTCAGAGCAAACTGAGAGCAGGAGAAGACAGTTAGCAGGGATCTCCTTCCTCTGAGCTTCCTCTGAGCTCGCGAGCCATGTCCGATGGCTTCAACAGCATTTTCCACCACCATTTGTAGAACTTATATAGTGCATTGTAGGCACTGTCTGCCTTTGGTTTCTATTCAGAGGTAAAAGCCAAGGTTGTTTTGGGGTCTTCCTATTACTCCTTGGTTCCCTTGGCTTGTTGCACCTTTGTTCCTGTTCCAGTTTGGGTCCTCCTTCACAAGAGCACTGGAACAGAGCTGCAGCTTATTGCAGAGGCAATTGACCTGTGCTTATTAAGTCAACTGGAGCTCCCTGTCTCCATGCCAGGTGTTTCTTCTGAGGTACCTGGGGACTGGATGTGCTCTCTTTGCTGTAAGCCACTGGAAGATTTTCCTTACTCAGTGAGTTGGTTTTAAGCTTTCCTCATCACATCCAGCCCCTACCAGCCAGCAGAAATGCCCAGTATTACCTCTTAGAAGTGTGGCATGGTTCTGTACCATCATTCTTGGGTTCCAGTCCTCAAGACCGTTTGGTTCTTCCCATAGAGCTGCTGCTTCCTCTCCTGCACTGGCAGTACTAATTCTTGTTCAGCCCATGAGCATGTTCCCAGATTTCATGCCCAAACAGATCTCTGAGGTGCTCCCATTGGAGTCTCCCCCTGTCCCTTCTCTCTTAGGAAAGCTATAGTCCTCTTCCCTCTGGGTATGTCCTTCCCCAGTTTATTCATCCTCATCCTCTCCACTTCAGTTTCCCTTGGACCTTTGGACCAGATTGCTGGGATTCAGATAGAGGAAATCCCTCTTTCCTCTGCTCAAGGCAGAGCATTTCCTCGAGCAAGGCAAGGCTTGCTGTGCCACAGGGCACAGTGCACCCTCAGGGAGCACATTTCATTTGACCCCACGTCTTTGTTTTTTTTTCTTCAGCACTTGGGTCTAGTGMCTTGAGTGCAGCTGGGATGAGGCTCTCAAGCTTGGGTTTACCTGGAAGACTGATTTCTTCCTCTGTAAACCTAATTGCACATGACCATCTGCAGTCCTTATCTGAGCTGGTGAAGATCCTGGCTGTGATTCCATGTGCTGCTTCTCCTGCTGGTTGAGAAAGAGAGAAGCTTTTTCCCCTGCCTTAAGCACATCCAGCTCTTCAGTGAGGAGGACCTGAAGCTGCTTCAGGACCTTGCTGAAGATCTGGTTCCCCTGAAAGGGACGGCAGGAGGCAGTGGCTGTGATTCAGTTGTAACCCACCAAGAGGGCAGATGCCTCAAGAGGGCTCCTGTGGGCAGGTGGAGCATGAGCTGCTGTGAACAGAGAGCATGGAAAGGCAATAGAGAGGGGCTGGGGTAGGAATGGGGCAGTGACCAGGCCYCTTGGGCTCTGTGGCTGCTGCTCTCTCAGGATCTGGACTTCTGGCTGCCTCCCAGAGCACGTGCCGGGCGCCGCGGGCTCTCGGACCTCTCCCACAGCCGCGTCTCTGTGTCTCCCACTCCAGGCCTGCTCGTTTACTTCGGCTACGGCATCTGGCACAGCAAGGAGAACCTGCGGGAGCCCAAGGCGCAGCGCGTGAGCGCCCGCTACGTGGTCTTCCCCAGCGGCAGCCTGGAGGAGACGGTACAAGCGGTGCAGCCGAGCGCCCAGCCCGCCGCGGGGCTGCCCCACGCGCACGCTGACGAGTCCAAGAGATGACGTTGCCGAGGACGGGGCCTCGGTGCCGCCGCGGCGCTCGCAGCCCTGGCCCCCCTCACGCAGGCAAGGCCTAAACTCCCCGCTCACCCCAGCCTCGTCTGCAGCGAGAGCCTCCGTGGCCAGGCCTGCCCTCCGTGTGTGACCCTGTCCGGGGGAGACAGGGCTCGCGCATCCCCCCAGCTCCCGACCGAGCGTGGCAGYGTGGAGCCGGCTCCCTCTCGTCCCACCTTGAGCGCTCGGGAAGCAGCTTCCGTCCTGCGAGCCCTAGTGCCTGGCGTGGTGATAAGGACCCTCGTCCTCACCACATTCCCTGGAGCCCCCCGCCTGGGCACCCAATCTGCCCGTCCTGGCCACCGCGCGGGCTCTTTCTGCAGCCCTGCTGGGAGGCAGGGCCGGCTCGAGGCCCTTGGGCCCGACAAGGAGCCAAGGGCGCTTCCCTGCCTGCATCCCTGTGCTCCGCAGGGCCGTCGGGATGGCGCAGCCCTGGCACCCAGACCTGCTCCCGCCACGCAGGCCCCTGCCTTAGCCCTGCACAAGGTGGGGAYGCTCAGGACCCCGGACTTGTCACCTCCCGGGCTGCTCCACAGTGGGCACAGCTGGTTCTCAGCCCTTCTCCATCCACCTGGGCCTGGACCAGCACGGGCCAGGAACGCTCAGTCCTCCCTGCCCGCTCCTGCTGGGCCCCATACAGGCCAGGGCTCACAATGGGGTGGTTGTGGGGTGACCCCAGGGCCCCCTGCTCAGCAGCTCTGTTGAGGTGACCCCAGCAAAGACACTGCCGTTGGCCAGGTGACCACATGGCCAACCCCTGCTCGAATGCCTGAATGTCTTTAACACGGCTTGGAAGAGCTCGCTGGAGGAAACCGTCACGAGGTTGCCTCCCCGCTGGCTCTCATGGCACGGCCACCCCAGCCCCCCAGCCCTGGTGCATGGGCAGGGGCTGTGCGTCCCGCCAGGCACCGGGCCACACGGGGAGAGCCCTGCCCCACGGCCCGGCCCCGCTGCCCCCGCTCCCCGTCCCGCCTGCCCCTGCGCTGTCACTGCTGCCCAGCCCCGGCCCCACGGGGCCCTCCTGCCGCGTCCTGGTCCCGCTCGGCACCCCTGTACAGCGGCTCGCGAGACCAGGGCTCACTCGGCCGCCTTCATAAACGCTGGATCTGTAACGGCTCCCAGTACTCGGGTGTTTGTGCTGTCCCCATCCTGACTCCCCGCGGGAAGGGGAGACGCCTGGCGAAAGGGAGGCTGGTTTCACCYGCTGCCTTCCCGCATCCACGGCCTGCCTGGGCTCGGCAAGGCCAGAAGTGGCAGAGAAGCGTCTTGGCCCTGGGGCAGATTGGCTAAAGCTGGGAGTTAGGGGCAAGACCCATCACAGCATTTGGGGACCAATGTAAACGTGTGAATTAAAAAAGCAAATCACTTGCGTCAACAGATCTGCATGCCCATCCTGTTCAGTAGGGAGATTTCTGATAAAAAAGCCGTTCTGCATCAAACAATAAAAATATCCAACTGCTAGACAGGGGGGCAGGTAGATTTAACTTCTCTTATCAATTGTGTGCATTTAATCTCTGCTATAAATCTATTGCTGGCAGGAGCAGGGTAAGCAGAAAGAGCAGAGCACAGGGTTGTCCTGCTGGAAGAGACCAGGAAAATTAGTGTGGGAGCAGAACATGCTGAAGTTCAAAGTTTTTTCTTCCTTTTTGGAAAAAAAATGGAACCTCAAAAAATGACTTTCAGCTGTGACTTAAATTGGCAGTTCTGCAGCTCCTGCAACGGGACCTTCAGAATTGCCGGACGAGCCTCTTGATCAACAATATGTAATCTGTTGAAAAACCTTCATTTCTGTCAGTTCCAGAGAACCTGCTTAKGTATGAAAACCATGAGTGGTGGCTGTGGCTCAACCAACCGGGGGAAAGACTTGGGACTGATACGGATGCAGCTGGCAAGGAATTAAAGGATTTAACATAATTAATGCCAGCCTGGGAGCCCCTTTCAAACAAACATGATTATTACTTACTTTTTTTTTTTTTTTAAACAGAAGAGCAAAACCGATTGCTTGATTTGCACCAAGCAAAACCCCACTGCAATAACATGCCCCAYACAGAAATGAAGTGATATATGTATTAATTTCATTTTAACTTGTCTACGTAATAATGCTCAGAAAGGGATGTTACCCTTATAATAATGCTCAGAAAGGACGTTACCAAGGGAGCCCTCATCAAATTATGTTTCTAAAATTGCATCGGCAGGAAAAAAGATTCAAAACAGACACTGTCAGACGTGTTTATAGAGGATAGCATGGCAACACTGTAAATAATAGCACGTTATTACCTGGAGATCGTATAAAGCTGGGTCAARCAGAACGGCATCTGTGGCTATACAGGCGAGCGTAATAAAATTAGATCTGGTAGGAAAAAAAAACAGGTTCCTCCCCYCCTCCGTCTGCCCCCGCAGGATGCACATGATACAGGCAGATTTAAAACCAAACCACCCCCACGTATGACTGACAAAGCTCCATTGCTTCAAAAGCAGGGGGAGCGTGGTGTTGTACCAGGGTTAATGTTGCAAGGGTTTTTCATAGTAATCTTTCTCTGAGTTGAGTTTCTTTAAAAAAAAAAAAAAAAAATATATATATATATATATATATAAAAATATATATATATATATATATAAAATCATGTGTTTTGGAGAATTCATGGAAACGGTCTAAATCAGCCTACCTAGGATTCGTGGTGATAGCTCTAATTAAAATGCATTCGAGCAGAGTATGTAGGTCATAGTGGTATAATGACCGGCGACAGGGCTCTGCAAAACGACTTCTTGCAAAGGGATTTAGAGGTCGCGGGGCATAAACAGCTGAGCATGTGCTGCCTGAGAAGGTTAATGTGCTCCTTGGGTGCTAATCCCCCGCTTACRTATGGGAGCGGGCGTGGGAAGGGAGCCCGAGGATGGGTCCGTGCTTCACAGAAGCCTCTGCTGGAGTGGGGAGGCCCTGAGAGGCTGCTGGGGTGATCCAGGTTTGCCAAGGAGGCTGAGGAAGGCAGCGTTGTGCAGCAGGATAGGAGTTCCCATGAAGATGACTCTACACAAAGGAAAAACCTTAAATTCAGAGTGGAAAGAACAGCAGGTTTTTCACTGGGCAGAGGGAGAAACTGACACCTGGGAAGCTTTTAGCTGCGAGGTGGTAACTTCTCCAGCACGACACGATGGAGACAYGAGTGCATCGGCCCCTGCCCTCCTCCTAGCAGGACGTCTCGCACAGCCACAGGAATCACAAGGGAAGGGGTGTCCCGTYGGAGCGCCCCGGCCAGGACCAGGGATGGCTGGAAGCAGCTGCTCCCGTGGCCGTCTGCAAGGCCTCGGGACCTGGAACAAAGCAGATGGGATTCCCAATCCGACCGCTTCCCAGCCCTGCGCTTCCGAACCTTCCTYCTGCCCGGACCACCGCGCTGGAGGCAGCACAGAGAACGCGCAGGGCTCGTTTAAAGCTCGCTCCAAGTAATCCTCTCGTCATCCCGCATAATCCTCCCCTCCTCCTCCTCCTCCTCCTGCAAATGCCACCAGGGACTGGCAGTTGTGAGGACAGCCAGGCCTCTCTGGAGAGCAGTTTTTTTTTATCTGCCTCATTTGATGCCTGCACAGCGCCTTTCCCCATCGCCAAGGAGAAGGCACCGCAGGCAGATGGGCTGAGCCTAGATGTAGTAACAAGGCTGGAATTTGGATTCTGCAGGTGTTTTCACAGCCTGTGTCTCAGAAATCCCCAAAACGAGTTCATTTGGACCACAGCTCTTCTGTGTCTCCCCACCCGATGGAGATAGTTTCAAGGCGGCTTGTGCAAGTGTATGATCCCAGTGACAGCAGAGCATCTGAGAGCAGCCTTAGCAGCCCTCAAATACATAGCTGCAAGTGAAGAAACATTCACCATGTGCGTAAGAGAGAAACTACAGCCTTCCAGGACTGCAGACGCTTCCCTGCACTGACAACAGACCTGCCTGGAAAGCCCCACCACTGATGCGTTGGTATTTCCTAGGTCTGCAGGAGCAAGCCATGGTGAGCAGAGCCTGCTTTGGGGCAGGCATCGCTGGCTCCTCATGGTSCCTTCGCCTTCGCACCTGTATTCCMTCATCRCACTGGACGCACTTGCAGCAAACACCAGGCCCCATGATGCAAAGGAGAGGAAAGTGATCAAGAAAAATGCTCTTCTGCACTTGGAAAAATAAAGCCAGGAGTAGGAGTCATCTTGCAGGGTGGTAAGAGGCTTCCTGCTTCAGCCCTACCTCAGGATGATGCTTGCTGGGGGCTCCTGGAGCTAAACCCTTTGGAATCACTACAAGTTTTTTATGAGGAATTAGCCAATGAGCTTCCCCAGAGCATTAATACTGATTTTCCGAAAATAACTAGACTGGTGGCTGCATAAATTGCTCAGTTCCAGGGGACAGGAGGCAAACAAGGCTGCCCAGCATTCMAACAGGGGAAGAGGAGGAGGAAGGAAGTTCAGGCTCTCACCCAGAAACTAAAGAGCCAAAATGAGAGCTGCTCAAAAAGGAGAAAACACCAACACTGATAAATATGTGGATGTGTGGTAAACCCTTTGCTTTTGCCTGGCCAGAATGTCATGCACTATCTTCCATGAAGCATCTGCCTGGCAATTTTGTAAAGAAACTCAAAAGGAACAGTATTCAAATAACATTCACCTAGAGCAAAACCTGGCTTAGTGCCACAAATAGCTCTGCAAACAGGGATTCATCAATAAACCTGCCTGTGAGTTCCTCAAGCAGTAGTCCTCAACCCAAAACTAAACAAAGCTGAGCTTGGAAGAAAGAGAAACCGTGATACAACCTGGTGGCACCRCTGGGTAAATGGGAATAGTGACTATTTCCATGCAACTGAAAACCCCACTGCAGTTTTTCCTGTCCCGTAACTGATCCTTTTAACCTACCCCCTTAGTTTTTATGTTCACTTGCTTTAGGTTAACTAAGAGTGAGCGGATGGCAGGACACCCTCCGTCCAGCTGCTTTGGGGACCCAGGAAACTGCATGAGAAACCTGAAGGTGTTTTTCCAGTCCCTCCTTCTCCATGCATTAATCCTTAATAAGGTTCTGTGCCAGATGCCAAAGGGCCCTGCAACCCAAAACCTCCTGCCGTCCACGTCAGCAGCCGTCCCAGCCGCTCCCGTGCCCGCCGTGCCCTCGCAGGCAGCTCTCCCGAGCGGAGCTCAGCTCCGTCTGCTTTTCCAGAGGTCTCTTTGTCTCACCAAACGTGCAAGATGATTGCAATAACATTCAACATATCTGTCCCAGTTCTGCCACCCTGTAACACCCCGGTGGCTCACGTGATAATTACGCTCCCCAAATGGTTCAACGTGTTCCCTTCTGGCTCTCACACGCACACAAAAGCTGTGTCCAACTCTAGTGAATAATGAATTGATGTGATAATGCCAATGTAAGTGGATCATCTCCWGCTACACCAGCTGGTAAATAGGAAAGGACTTGGTGTGCATTGATTCTTTACCTACCTTTTTATATGATTTTAACTTGGAACTCTTTTTTTGAGGGGGATTATAAGAAGGGCTAGTGGTAAAGGAAGTAAGAGAAACAATAAATGATTAAATACTTTAAAATAGAAGTATTTATACTGTTTGAAATCCAAACGTTTTGTAGGTTCTGTGTTTAACACATGATGTTTTTCACCCAGAGATTGAAAGGGAGTCAGGATGGTTTTGAAAATCCTGGGAATGATCAATATTTACAGAATGAAATGCGGCTTACACATAAGAAACTTTTCAGAATGAACATAGGGATTTAAGTTCAAAGCACAGAAATGATTTATTAGATATGCAAACGTAAGATAATTTGCACAATTATAGATCAGATTCTGATGAAACATGATTGAATGGAGCTATTTTCAGACAARGTTAAACATTATTTGCTAAGAACTGAGGCTTAGTGAATTCCCAACATGGGGATCTTCCCCAACCTGCCTGGATGCGCCCGGGTGCCCCGTGCTCTGGGTGTCCCTGCTGGAGCAGAGGGTTGGACTGGATGAGCTCTAGAGGTCGGTACATGGCTGCATGGTCATCAAATTGGTTTCCTGAGAGCTGAAGGGATRTAACTGTAGTATTTTCTCGAAGCATAGCAGGAAAGGCCTCGGCTCCTTCAGCTCCTAGTGTGTTGTCAGATAAATCATCAGCTGGGAAAGGGAAAAAAAAAGTCTGGTCATCAAATCATACAATCATTTAGCCAAATTTAAAAAATAGAGCTTGATTTTTGAATTCACAGCCTGTCTTTAAGATGTAGCCCTCATTTGAGATCTGCTACAAGAATACGGGACATGAGACAAAACTTCCTTGTCCATCTGTCCAGCTTCTCGCTGCAGACACAGCCTAAAGCCAGCAAAGCTATTGCAGGTTTCTACTGCAGGTACTAATGCGCTCGTAGCGAGAGAGGGGCCGGTCGTGGCCGGGACCAGCGGCCGCCCCCGGGGCGGGGAGGCTCGAGGGGAGGCCGGGGCGGAGGCTCCTCCCGCCGAGTGCGGTGCGGGGCCGGTATCGATGTCGGGACCGGGGTCGGTGTCGATGTCGGTGCCGGGGGGCGCCRTGCGGGCGGTGGCCCGCGAGCTGCTGCACTACAAGACGGCCAAGCTGGCTCTCACGCGGAACCGGCGCGTGGGGCTGCTGCAGCGCGCGCTGCAGCTCGCCGTGCTGGGCTACGCGCTGGGGTAGGGGCGGCGCGCGGCCCCC